CCGGTGCAAGTAACCCTTCATTTGATGACATACAAAATTACTAAAGTTACATTATACCTCAACAATGTACTTAAACACAATATATTAATATCTAAGTGGCCCAAATCATTGAAAAATTTTCAAACGTTCTGTAGATGACCAAAGCAATTTAAAAAGACCATCAAATGGTGATCCAATATATATAATTTTCCCATTACATAGTTGTCCATGCCCCATTGGGTGCATTATTCTATAGAATTTGAATGCATGTATCGTGTTTCTCTTCAGCAATTGTCAAACTACTTAACCCGCTTGTTACATAGAGAAACATTCCTTTTCTCATACTTATTTGGGATAGAAGACGCATCCATCCGAGCAACAAAACTACTTTAGACTCAATTGTTCAGAAAAGGGATTAAATTTTCCAATGATATGGAGATAATTTTATCACCGACATGGTTGCGATGTTATGAATAAGGCAAGGATTTAAAATTTCTAAAAAATCGTTACAAAGCTATCGGTTTTGCCATCTTAAACTTATGTTTATCTAACCTGTTTTAATAAATATTCTGAGGAAACAAAGATGACCTCCAACCCATCCATGCAAATCTTCTTTCGAAAAGGTTTACAAGATACCCTACAATAGACCATTTACATTATATCTTAACCGAAGGCAAGACTAGTTTTCTTCATTAACGATTTAAATAAGTAATCAAAACGAACCATCTGTAATACTTCATGACTTAATAGGTTAAATAAGATTAAAGAATGTTTACAGAAATCATTTGAAAATGTTTGGTAATGTGGTTTGTTTAATATGAAAGATTTACATTGTAAAAACAACAATAGATCACCTTAAGTACACGTGTGGACAGATCATATACAAACTAAAGCTTTTTATACAATTGTTTTGCGTCGATGTTGACAAAATTCTCAATGTTTAACATAAATTTACATTTGTTTAACCTTTGAAGAAGATGATTAAACATTAGGACCAATAGTAATTCTCAACATCACAAGCCTGAACTGCCATTGAAGGTCTGCATTTCAACACACAGACATCTACACGATAATTTTACAGAAATGTCAAACTGGTTTCCTTTAATGAAACGACAATGAGTTACTTTGTAAAATAGTGAAGCATTTAATCTACGAAAAATCTCATTAATGAAGTCATATTAATGCCGAGAGAAGTTCCGTATATTACTGTACCTACATGTATAAGGGAATAAGCTGCAATAGCATAGAACTACAAATCTTCGCTATGAGTGTCCCACCACTAGTGTTTTTTGAAAATTCAATTGAACAGAGCATTCTACCCAAATGCATATATGTTTATTTAGTTAGTCTCATAGAGATATGATAAACTATGTAACAGGATAAGAAATTTTTGATGACAATGTGAATTTTGAACAGGATAAAATTTCGTTTGGAAACTCAATGAATCAGAACATCCTACTCACATGTAAACCTGCAAATTACAATCTGACAATGTACCAAGCTTCCTGTAAATACCACAACAATAAAAGAACAAATTCAATGACAAGGTGGGTGCTGGGCATGTGATTGTCCAAAACGTACAAGTTTAAAGCTATAACAAAGGGAAAGCGCAAGAAACCAGAATATCTCTCGCATGCATAAATGCATATCAGGATCTATCAGTCCAGTGGTTTCATGTAGACATAATACATGTCACTTGTTGGAGTTGGGCAAGTAGAACACATGGAAGTGCACAACTCTTCAAAACATAAATGAACAAAAAACATTTTACTCTCTTGAACATCTATATATTAACAAGCATTCTGTGAGTATTGAATGGCAATACATAGTCCACTACCGGTTAAAAATTCAGTGTATTGGAATAAAATTCTAACTTGATCTATAACTTGTCATGGTGTAAACTATATAACAAATATCTTCAAGCATGACGAAAAAGTGTTGAAAACTGATTATTTAAGTGAATTTTCTAAGTCCAAGGACCATAACTCTGCACAATATTATCAGACCGGAACAAAATTCGGTCTTGATCTGTAACTTGTCATGATAAAACTATATACCAATTTTCAAATCAATATCTTCAAGCATGACAAAAAAAAGGGCGGAAAACTGATTATTTTAGTGAATTTTCTAAGTCAAAGGACTATAACTCTGCACAAAATCATCAGACCGGAACAAAATTTGAACTTGATCTGTAACTTGTCATGATAAAACAATACACCAAATATCAAATCAATATCCTCAAGCATGAAGAAATAAACTGCTTCGCCGAGCACAGCTGGATACGACCGCAGAGGTCCAATCCTGAACAGTTGGGGCAAAAATGGACACAATATTCAAGCTTGATACAGGTCTGAATTTGGATTGTAATTAAATATTTGACACATTATAGGTTTCTGACACAGAATAAATGTGTCAAAGAACTTGAAATTGGTTGTATGATTTGAATTTATATTCAATTGAAGATTTCTTGCTGTTGTGCAATACACTTTGCTGTTGCGCAATACTTAGTAAATTTGTTTTCAGACTATATACAAAGAATTAGCAAAATAAATTGTGACCCCCAATTTTTTTCTTTGGAAAATTGACAATTTCTTAAATCTTGAGGGAAAAAAAATTGCCCCCCCCAAAAAATTTTTTTTTTTTAACCCTTCCAAAAAAAATAATTTTGAAGAAATTTTCTTTTTGTAAAATGTGGTACAAATTAAGACATCCATACACTTAAACACAAGTTATTGTCTGAAAACTAGAAAAATGCTTGTTTTAGACCCTTTTTGGCCCCTAATTCCTGAACGGTTTGGGCAATTACCCCCAAAATGAATCCCAACCTTCAACTTATGGTATTGAACCTTGTGGTACAATTTCAGAGCAATCAAAATACTTATACACAAGTTATTGTCCTGAAACTAGAAAAATGCTTGTTTTGGCCACTTTTGGGCCCCTAATTCCGATAAAGGTTGGGACCATCACCCCCCAAAAACAATCCCAACCTTCCTTATGTGGTATTGAACCTTTTGATTAAATTTCATAGAGATCCATATACCGGGTACTTAAACTAAAGTTATTGTCCGGAATCCAAATGTATGATTTGAATTTATATTCAATTGAAGATTTCTTGCTGTTGTGCAATACACTGTGCTGTCGTGCAATAGTTAGTAAATCTGTTTTCAGACTATATACAAAGAATTAGCAAAATAAGTTGTGACAAAATTTTTTTTTTACCCCTTCCAAAAAAATTAATTTTGAAGAAATTTTCTTTTTGTAAAATGTGGTACAAATTATGAGACATCCATACACTTAAACACAAGTTATTGTCTGAAAACTAAAAAAATGCTTGTTTGAGACCCTTTTTGGCCCCTAATTCCTGAACGGTTTGGACAATTACCCCCAAAATGAATCCCAACCTTCTACTTATGGTATTGACTGACAAATAGACAGACAGACAGACAGACGGACGGAGTGCAATCCTAAAGTCGGTAGGGGACTAAAAAAACAATGCAGGACCTTGATTCTAATTACAATAAACCTTGTTAGAAGAATTGTGTAAAGGCAGGTGCAATGTACAGTGAATGTAATAACTCAACTGTGGGACAACTTATCAGGACATAGTATACATAAAAATACATAATTCATATCGTCTTATTTTTATATTCATAGGTAGCTAAGAATATGGAGCGCATACATGGACCCGTTCAGAGTCTCTGTTAAGGTATATACAATAGCTTGGGTATTTCAGATTCCCTGTATAAGTTAACGCTGTTATTAAGGTTTTGAATTTTCAATAAAATGCTCCGCTGGGCGCAGCTTGATACGACCGCAGAGGTCGAACCCTGAACAATTTGGGCAAGTATGGACACAACATTCAAGCTTGATACAGCTCTGAATTTGGATTGTGATTAAATATTTGACACAACATAGGTTTCTGACACAGAATGAATGTGGTCTAAGAACTTAAAATTTTTTAATTTACCTATTATGGTCCAATATCCAAAATCTAAATACATACACGGTTAGATTCAGCATATCAAAGAACCACAAGATTTCAATTTTTGTTAAAATCAAACTAAGTTTAATTTTGGACCCTTTGGATCTTAATGTAGACCAATTTGAAAACGGGAACAAAAATTAAGAATCTAAATACACGGTTAGATTCAGCATATCAAAAAACCCCAATATTTCAATTTTTGATGAAATCAAACCATATCATTATTATTTGCTTTTATTTATAAATCAAAAATAACCAACTTAAAATGGAAAATTTTAAAGAAAAAAAAAAAGAAAATAAGGAAAAAAAAGAAAAAAGGAAACCCCCCCCCCCCCAATTTTTTGAACCCCCTTATGATTCATCACCCCCAAACTCAATCCCAGCCTTCCCTTTGTGGTATGGTACCTTGCAGTTCAATTTCAGAGAGATCTATACACTTGAACACAAGTTATTGTTTGGAAACTGTAAAAATGCTTGTTTTTTGGCCCCAAATTCCTAAACGTTTAGGGCAATAACCCCAAAACTCAAACCCAGCTTTCCCTTTGTGATATGGAACCTTGTAGTACAATTTCATAAAGATTCATACACTTACACACAAGTTATTGTCCTGAAACTAGAAAAATGCTTGTTTTTTGCCCCTTTTTGGCTCCTAATTCCTAAAATTTCGAGGCAATTACCCCCCAAATCAGTCCCAGCCTTCCCTTTGTGGTATGGTACCTTGCAGTACAATTTCAGAGAGATCCATACACTTAAAAACAAGTTATTGTCTGGAAACTAGAAAAATGCTTATTTTTGGCCTCTTTTTGGCCCCTTATTCCTAAACGTTATGGGCAATTACCCCCAAACTCAATTCCAGCTTTCCCTTTGTGATATGGAACCTTGTAGTGCAATTTCAGAAAGATCCATACACTAACACACAAGTTATTGTCATGAAACTAGAAAAATGCTTGTTTTTGCCCCTTTTTTGGCCCCTAATTCCTAAAATTTGGAGGCAATTACCCCCAAAATCAATCCCAGCATTCCCTTTGTGATATGGAACCTTGTGGTACAATGTCAGAGCGATCCATACACTAACACACAAGTTATTGTCTGGAAGTTACAAAAATGCTTATTTTTGGCCCCTAATTCCTTAACTGTTGGTACCATAACCCCCAAAATCAATCCCAACCTTCCTTTTGTGGTATTGAACCTTATGGTAAAATTTCATGGAGATCCATTCACTTAAACTAAAGTTATTGTGCGAAAACCAATGTGTCTACGGACGATGACGATGCCGGACGACGACGACGCCAACGTCATACCAATATACGACCGCAAAAATTGTTTGCGGTCGTATAAAAATAGTATATATTTAGAGAGTTCAAAGTCCAGTAAGTGCGTAGAAATTTGTCTTCCAATACATTAATAGTAGGGGATTGTATTGCTCATTTTTGGATTTTTGATGTTGTGATTTGTTAATTTGACTCTTGGCTATTGCTTCTGTTCTTCTTAATATGTGCTTTTTTATTGTATTGCCCCTTAGTACCTTCTTTTTTTTTATCTTCACAATAAAAAAAAAAATCCTGCAGACAAACTAACCAGTAGGCAATCAGGCCACAATAAGATGATTATATCAATATTACAAATACATTGATAACTAATCAGAATTAAAGTATTTCTTCAGTGTCCTAATTATAAAACACAAACTCAACAGAATAGATACCACAGACACAAACATCATTTTCATGCACAATCTTCCAGTAAAGTTCATTTAGCTGTTTTTCTTGACCCATTTCAAAAGTTCTTCAGTGATGATAAATGTCAGGCTCAGCAGTCAATAATAAACTGCTTCGCTGAGCGCAGCTGGATACGCCCGTAGAGGTCCAACCCTGAACAGTTGGGGCAAAAATGGACACAATATTCAAGCTTGATACAGGTCTGAATTTGGATTGTAATTAAATATTTGACATATTATAGGTTTCTGAAAAAATGTAGTCAAAGAACTTGAAATTGGTTATATGAATTGAATTTATATTCAATTAAAGATTTCTTGCTGTTGTGCAATACACTGTGCTGTTGTGCAATACACTGTGCTGTTGTGCAATACTTTGTAAATCTGTTGTCAGACTATAAACAAATAAAGTTTAATTTCTTCTCAATGTCATATTTGAAATTTATGAAAATCAATAGGGAGATTACATCATTAGCTATAAATAATTCACCAAAGTTTCATGAGAACTGCTGAAAGCATTTTTTAATGAATAAAACCCCATAACTCAGAAATGTAAAATGTAAAATTTATAAAATTCTAAAGGGAGCTTACACCAACAGATATAAACCAGTGGCCGATCCAGAGGGGGGCGTAGAGGGCGTACACCCCCCCCTTTGCTTGCACTTTTTTTTTTTTTTTTTTTTGTAAAATGATTAATCAGACTAGACTTGCGAACTTTGCCATTTCCCGTGTATTTAATTTTTATGTGACAATTCTTTATTTATAAAGATATTTTTCGCTCGTATTTACTGTAATTTATTATTGATTATGTCAAAGTCATGTGATTCGCTACGGTGGAGTTGACCAGTACGTCGAATAAAACGTCACTCAGTCGTTTTGAAATTCAAATTACAGTAACACATTGCTTAGGCTGAGGATGACAAGCATGACGCCTTCAAAGCGACAAAGTATTGAGCAAGAACGTATTGACTTTTATTTCACAATTCCATCCAACAGAAAGTAATACTCTATTACACTCTCATGAAAAAAAAAGTTCCACAGCAATATTATTTACCTACGAAAACATGTTTAACCCCACACGCCCCAGCCCATTAATAACATTGCTGAATATTGATCCCCAGTCAGTAAGCTCTAGATATAGTTTTAAAGTCTAAGGTACGGACCATTTGATTTGAGGGGGCAGTCTGAGATATTTTAGAGAAAAAATTCTGACCCTGATTTTTGCCTTAAACAAAAATTCTGGCCATATCTGGATTGAAAACAATAATCTTGTCCACTTTTTTGCTATTAGAAAAAAAAATTTTCAACAAAATTATTTAGCACTAAATGAACATGATGAATAAAAAACGGGCGTAATTTTTTTTTGGGGGTTGCATGTGAATCCCATATCTGACCAGAATGTCTGTTTCGCAGAACTGATATACTGAATACTTTTTTCAAGGCCCGACTGCAACCTGCCTGCTGGGTGTGGCCTATATGTCTCCATGCGTCGACCGTCATTCACAACTTCATTGTCATTTCCTACTCATTCGTAGCCTTTGGTTGATTTGGAACCCCTCACTTCCCTTGTTGGTTGAAACATTTCAACCAAACATTTGGATAAAAATTGCTTGTTTGTCTTTCTTCGTGTCGGTTGTATTGTAAATTTCATTGAATAGCCGTATATCTTGTTTACAACAAGAAATCTGTGAGGTTATGCTAACTAACCATACAACAAACGAGAATTTTCCATGTCCATTTTTTACTGACAAATCCCACATCAAATATATTAATTAGTACATAGCTTTGGATCCATCCAATCATTTTATAATAGACAATTAATGGAGAGAATACGGCACCAAAAATGTCCAACCCCTACACTTTAACTATAAAATGCATTTTACACTTATTTTATGTTTTTTAGCCAAAAAAAGTCCAAAATTTTTTTAATACTATGCCCCCTTTCCAAAATCCTCGATCTGCCCCTGTAAACAATTCACCAAAGTTTCATGAGAACTGCTGAAAGCATTTTTTAGTTATTGTCCGAAAACTGGAAAATCCCTTTTTGTTTATGAATAAAACCCTGCAACTTGGAAACATTAAATCTAAAATTTATAAAAATCCAAAAGGGAGCTCATGTCAATAGATATAAATAATTCACAAAAATTTCTTGCAAGTTGGTGAAAGCATTCTTGAGTTATTGTCGGAAAACTGGAAAATCCCCCCTTTTTTAATGAATAAAACCCCAAAACTCGGAAATGGTAAATCTGAAATTTATAAAAAACAAAAGGGAGCTCACGTCAATAGATATAAACTATTCACCAAAGTTTCATGTATATTGATTAAGGCTTTTTTAAGTTAATGTCCGACATGTTGACGACGGACGGACGGACGGACGGACGGACAGACGGTCAACGGTATACCATAATACGTCCCGTAAACGGGCGTATAAAAATCATTGACATATTCTCAATGCATATGATACAACTTCTGCAATCACTAAGAATCTGTAATCATAAGTCAATCAAATGGTAATGCACAGTGTGTTGATCAGATCGACATACAAGTTGAGCAGGGTGTGAATGTATCCCCTTACTATGACATAAATGAAAATTCTTGCATGTGGATCAATTCCCACTCCCCAAATTCTTGTTTTAGGTGAGCTCAGTTTTATTTCAGAAATCAGAGATATGGGTCTGTTATAATTTTAATGCATTAAATAACACCTATATATACACTTGTATTTATGTATATGCATAGTAGCAATATTTTTTCAGTAATCAATATCACAGTAAGATTTAATTCCTCATAATAATCTTGACATCTCCATTTTGAATTATGACATTAGTATTTCACGTCTCAGTTTCTCATCTGTTAATATTGTGTTTTCTACAGGGTTATCTTCTGCTATCACAGTCACATTACCATGGCAACTAGTAGTGCTGCCATCTTGATTCATCTGTTGATCATTGTCATCGTCTTCAAGCTGACATAATAAATTGTCATTTTCATATGTTGGGAAGAAATACCTGTAAAAATGTGTAAATATCAGTATATAATCAATGCATATAAATTATTGAATAATTCTAAATGGAGAAAAAATTTATTATAACAAAGCCTTCTTAAATGAATGTTGAATACTACTAAAAATTTCTAGTTTTATTACCTCTCCAAATCTAATTATTCCAATATGATGTAGTGTCATAAGCTAAACTAGAACAAGAGTGCACACGCTGAATGTTTCACCTACTTTGCTGGTTATAATCAAGTTTTTGAGATCAAGGTCTTAGTAAAGGTATCACATGAAATAAAATTAAAAATATCCCCTCACATACATTGGATCATGAAAGAAGATCAGAGTCAGGAATAAAAGAAACCACCAAAATAAAACCTTGTGAACAGGTTTGGCCTATGACATGATGTGTAAGTGTTGACAGTAATATAGCATTTGAAACAGAAAGGTGTTTAGAAGTAATAGCAATGCAATTTGATACAGATATGTCACTGTCACATAGTGTTTATGTGTTAAGAAATAGTATCGTCACAATTTGATTCAGAAATGTCACTGTAACATTGTGTTAAGGGACAGTCATTTTGAAATTGATACAAGTATGAAACTGTAACATAGTGTTTATGTGTTTAGAAATAGTATCACTGGAATTTGGTACAGATATGTCATTGTAACCTTGTGTTAAAGGACAGTTATTGTGCAATTGAACAGATATGACACTGTATCATAGTTTTATGTGTTTAGAAATAGTATCACTGCAATTTGATACAGATATGCCACTGTAACATTGTGCTAAGGGATAGTTATTTTGCATATAATGACAGATATGTCATTGTAACATAGTGTTTATGTGTTAAGAAATAGTAGCACTGCAATTTGATAAAGATAAGTCACTGTAACATTGTGTTAAGGGACAGTTATTGTGAAATTGATACAGATATGTCAAAATAACATAGTTTGTCAGTGTTTAAAAATAGAATCACTGCAATTTGGTACAGATATGACATTGTAACATAGTGTTTATAGGTTAAGCAATAGTGTCACTGCAATTTGATACTGATATGTCACTGTCACATAGTGTTTATATGTGCTAGAAATAGTATCACTACAATTTGATATATATATGTAACTGTTATATTGTGTTAAGGGACAGTTATTGTGAAATCGATACAGGTATGTCATAATAACATAGTGTTTATGTGTTTAGAAATAGTATCACTGCAATTGATACAGATATGCCACTGAAACATAGTGTTTATGTGTTTAGAAATAGTATCATTGCAATTTGATACAGATATATCACTGTTACATTGTGTTATGAGATAGTAATTGTGAATTTGATACAGATATGTCACTGTAACAAAGTGTTTATGTGTTTAGAAATAATATCATTGCAATTTGATACAGATATGTCACTGTAACATAGTGTTTATGTGTGCTAGAAATAGTATCACTGCAATTTGATATAGATATGTCACTGTTACATTGTGTTATGGGACAGTTATTGTGAAATTGATACAGACATGTCACTGTAACTTGGTATTTATGTGTTTAGAAATAGTATCACTGCAATTTGATACAGATGTGACTGTAAAGTAGTGTTTATGTGTTGGGGACAGTTATTGTGCCATTGATACAGATATGTCACTGTAACATAATGTTTATGTGTTGGGGACAGTTATTGTGCCATTGATACAGATATGTCACTGTAACATAATGTTTATGTATTTGGAACAATTATTGTGCCATTGATACAGATATGTCACTGTAACATAATGTTTATGTGTGGGGAACAATTATTGTGCCAGTGATACAGATATGTCACTGTAACATAATGTTTATGTGTTGGGGACAGTTATTGTGCCATTGATACAGATATGTCACTGTAACATAATATTTATGTGTTGGGGACAATTATTGTGCCATTGATACAGATATGTCACTGTAACATAATGTTTATGTGTGGGGAACAATTATTGTGCCATTGATACAGATATGTCACTGTAACATAATGTTTATGTGTTTGGAGATAGTAATAGTGTTACTGATACAAATATGTCAGCATGAAATGGTGTTATAAATGTCCATATGACAGTCAATAAAAAATATGTCTCTAGTATGGTCAGTATTTTCTTAAAAGTTAGTAAATTTCATTCTTGATTACTTTTCAAAAGTTTATGATGAAACAGCTCGGCTTTTCAAACTATTTCAAAATGAATGATTTTTGAAAAATAGGTTAATATACAAATAAAAGTATATAATTTCAGTCATCACCAAAAATATTCTCTATGTTTTATGTGATCTTCAGCAGTAAGTTTGTGTGTCCTGTTTAAGACCTATCTTTAAAAAATATGGAAGCAATTTACACTAGATCTGAAAAATTATTATAATTACATTTATCTATCTTATCATCTTTCAACATTTAATTTTCAAATTCTAATAACAGATCCATTTCAATCTTTATGAGCTCTATGGACTAATAAATAAAAATTAAACCCTGAGAAAACACACAGACATGATCTTATGAATACAATAATAAAAAAGATTGCATTCATCTACTCAGTTATCAATTTAAAATCGAACATATTTTGACAAACATGGATCATAAAATTATATTGATATACAGGTGATATGGGAAGTGTACATTAATACAAAAACTAATTTCCCTCTTTTTGCTTGATCTAACAGGATTTATTAAACAAGAATTTACCCCATTCAATCAACATAAAGTTACTATGACGAATACTGCGACGTACAAAAAGTTATTGATTTGAATAATGCATCAATTTAAATAATTATCAGATTTTGTGGTCTAACAAAATATGTGTCACCCATCATCAAGTTAGGAAGATTCTTTGTTATATAAAACCTGAAGCTATTTAATAAAGCACGGTTTATGTGAGCTATATTTTTGTTAGCAATTGCTATGGTGTACCACACATCATAATTGATACAATAAGATGTCTTTAGGTGCTAATACCTCAAGGCTACTGATGCTTTGATAGTACTTGAACTTTTAGCATTGCAATTATGAATATGTACTAAAGTATCATTTATTATCGACAGTACTGTCTCGAAGTACTACTGTGCATTTGGCTTCTTTTTGCTTTTAATGCATGGTTCTCTTATTGACATTTACCTGATATCTACTTTTCTGAGACATAATATATTAGTATAATAGTCCCAGATTAGTTTATAAAATTATACAAATATATATATATTCATAAAATGGTTGTCAAAAACATTGCATTATACATTGTATAACTGAAAACAATATCCTGCAGCTAGAGTCATATACATTCTTATATATTAAATAGTATAAGAAAATGTAAAGTTCCCTTTTGTATAAATTCAAAAACATAACATTTACAAAGTGTTTAATATGTGAAATTTTTCATAGATTTATATAGCTTAGTTAAGTGAATAATGTTTTAATCTTCCTTGTTTTTATATTGTAAATCCATGATTCCTGCAGTCCGTATTACTCCTAACAATGTCATCACTAATGATTACATTTCAAAATTCTTTTCCACTTTTAAATAATAAAACAACCACCAAAATGAAGAGCCTGCTCTTAAACAAAACATAGCACTATGTTTTTTTCCTTAATCAACTAAGATCATGATATATATATGACCCTAGAGTTAAGTGATGAAACACTAAAAGAATGTTATTTATGTACAACTTTTGTTTAACAAACAAATGACCATTACACTAAATAAACAAACATGACTTTCTGAATGTTTGTCTCAAGATTACCTACTTCAAAATCAATTTCTTACAGCTTAAATGGATAAAAAGTGAAACAAGACCTCTTTGTGTGCTCATAACAACCAAACCTTCACACTACATATCAAAACAGTTAATATCCAAACCCATATTAAATACACTTTTTCCTAAGTTTTCTTAGCCCTTCCTACCAATTGACTAATTTGAATCTAATTTGTCAGGTGAGCACTAAACCTTTAAAGTCACAGGTGTAACAAAATACACATCCCAACAGATAAAACTTCAAACAACAAAAAATACTAGGTCATCTTATTTACTTTACCAAGTCTTAACAGAAATTAAATGTCTGGATTAAGAAGACAGAGGACTCACTATTTCAAAAAATAAGTAGAAGATCAAAAGTGAGAATTTGTTCATATGTAAATGAGGGTCCTATAGGAGAAAACTTGATGAACACAGGCTACATCATAGGTCTGACAAGCTCTGTACATTAAGACGACAAGTCTTAACCTCAGATTTCTTTTACTAAACCCCATCTCTGGTTACTTTTACGTGGATGTCTTTTGACTTGTCCTCATATTGAATGGATCATGTCAACCCGTAAAGTCACCCAGTAAGAAATCTGAGCCGTAACATTAATTTTATGTCGTTGATATTGGAGTTTTGTTGTAAATTAAAGTTTTATAGGTGGCAATTTTAACATCAATAGATCAAGCTTAGATAACTTAGGTAGAGTATCTGTTGCACCAATGGATAAAGTTTTCTACTGTAACAATGGGAAAAGACCTCCAACTGTTGACATTACAAACACTTCAGTGCTCTCTTGTATAGAATTCATGCTTCCTGTTGCAAACAAGAAGAACAAAAGATGACAGTAGAATAAAACAAGTAGAAATACAGATACGTATCACCAATTCAAACACAATGTACAACAAATCATATTTGACCCACTTCTTATACGGAAAATTGCACTTAATAATCTCTATTTCATGCTTAATTTTCCCTTATAAAAGTCTTTACTTTTTATGGAGTATAAAGCTATCCTGTTTATCAGATGCACTAGCACAAGCTTAGTAGCATATATAAATGTCTTGGTTAAATGCACATTTTGTCTGGTGATATACATGTATAAGAAATATGAGCAAGAGTGAATGACTTTGCAGCATTTCCTCTACAATAAACGCTTTGCAGTTTATTATGCAAAATTGAAAGGAGTATGGTTGATTCCTTAAGATTTTGCAACTATATTGTAAGCTGCTACATTTTTCCTACAACAGGTACAAAATTTCT